CCAAATGTTGCATATAGCATTAGGCATGTTCAAGGAAATAAAAGGCAGGCCTCAGGATTCTGAGATGTTCAATCATGTTTCTATTGGTACAACCTTTCTTTGGGCTTGTGAACTTCTGTCCACATTCAGCTTTGTGTCTCAACTACCTGGTGCTGTGCTGGATGCAACATCAACGCTTGAAAAGTACGTGTGGAATGTGACCTGTCCTGGTGAAAGATAGTGCTGTTTTCTGTTCTAGCCACTGGGATATGGATTATTTTCAGTTCCCCATTCTATTTCTCTGTCTCTTTCACACAAACCTAAATTTTCCCATAAAATGGAAAATTGCTCAAATGAACTTTAGTCATTACCTGGCATTTTATGCTGGTGAGAGCAGAGATTTTGAAAGTAGAATTGTATTTCATTCTTGAACCACGTTTGTAATTTCTTCCTGCCTCTGCTAGAGTCTGACAGTGAACACAGTTACTTTCGCCACCATTATGAATACTGATTGCGGTTACTTAGCGTTCACTGAAAGCTGCAGAATGTGCCCGAGGACCCACGCGCCTTGTAACATTTAATCTGCACAATACACCTATGAGGCAGGTGTTCTTATTGCCATTTTACTCTATCTGGGAGACCAAGTCCGCTGCTCTAAGTCATGATTCCAGTTTATCAGGACATGAGGAGGACTAATGATCATGGTCAACCTCCATAATGATCATGGTGAAGCCTCCATAAAGAGCAGCTGTTACAATGGCGGTGATAATGCCAGAGTGCTTGGGCTGCATAATATGACGAGTATACAGCACCTTAGCAAGAGTGGGTTTATGAGGTCAATTTTCTTCCTGAGAGCAAAGACAGTGTAAAAGCTATCTCTGCTGGATGGAAGAGGAAACTTAAGTATGTTATGTGTGGAGTGTGATTACATTATCCCCAACTTAAAACTGCTTTTTTTTTCCTTGAATATACCCTCAACAGTTCATCTATGGGGGTTGTAGAAATGTAAGGAATGGGATACAGACTAAGATGTAGTTCTTCAATTTACATAATCAGTGTTTTGATGTGCTACATGCTTGAATATTACAAAGAACAGGATGAAACAGTCTTCTATGTGCTTCCCTTAAGAGAAATACGTTGCTATCTGTTGTTTGCCCTTTGGGCTGCATGTCCCATCCCACAATGTTTCAGTGGAGAGCTGCCAGAAGGGAATCATAACACCAGCAGTGTGATCTGCTGACATGAAGGACAGAATATGCTTCCAGTCTAGACTTGGCTCCTTGCCTTTTGTTGAGGCACCAAACAGCCAGCCTTACTCCAGCCTCTGGGAGATACTCGCTTACATTAACACTACTTACGTCTGCCCACATTCTGTGCTTCCTTCAAGCCTTTTGTCTCTTCCATTTCACCTCCCTTTGTTGTCCCTGAGACAGAGGGAATAGGGAGGACTACGTAACTGTGGTCAACATAAATATGCTTCAGGACAGTTTCAAATCTAACTCCTGGCCATTCCAGATGCAACAGAGGCCCAGATTTCTGAGGCTCAAAGTAGATTAGAATGTAGATATTACCAAAGAGAGCTAGCAAAGCAGCTTCCAATTACCAGCTATTTGCTATAGTAAGAGAATACATTCAGCACAGAACTATAATGGAATAATATAACTACAGAATGTTCATGGTGTTAAAAATGGACACTGTGTTTCAGGTGGTATGGGCAAATTGTAGGTCCTAAAATCATGTAGACTGGTGAATATTTACTTTTCAGTCCTCAGAATATGTCTCTGAGGGTGTAAGTATAATTTTATTTCAAAATAGACTGTTGCAGTAAAAACTGGGGAGTATTATAACATATGAATCAAGGCTTCCCATTTCTCATTTTTGTGTGTGTGTTAACTTGCTAGGTGCCATCAGTCCATTCTCCAGCATCAGTTAGGAACTCCCTGTTCCTGCTTAGAGGATGGGAGAGAAATCTCTACTAGCCATTTATGTGGCAGATGACTAATATGAAGAATATATGAAGAACTCAAAGCCCATAACGACGAAAGAACAAGTAATCCAATCAACAAATGAGCAAACTGTCTGAACAGACACTTCTCAAGAGAAGTACATCTGGCCAACAAATATACCAAAATCAAAATTATACCAGTAGTCCTTCTCATTCCAGTCAGATGACTGTTACCAACAGACAAAGGATAACTGTTGGCAAGGATGCAGAGGAAAAGGAACAGTTATGTACTGGGAATGGGGATCAATTTAGACATTACAGAAAACACGGAGGTTCCCCATGATACTAAAAATAGAACTACTATTTGATGCAGCTGTACCACTCCTGGGTCTACCAGATGGAATCTTATCCACACTCAATAGAGATACCTACACATTCATTTTTCATTGTCATGCTATTATTCATAGTAGCCAGGATATGGAATCAGCCTTGGTGTCTATCAACAAATGAATGGATAAAGAAAAGATTCACACATACACACACACACACACACACACACACACACAAACACACAAGTCACACTGGAGTTTTATGTAGCCATAAAAATGAACAACTTGTTATTTGCTAGAAAATGTATGGAACTAGAGGTCATCATGTTAAGTAAAATAAGCCAGATTTAGAAATAAATATATCTATCATATGTGGAACCTAAAATAAAAAAAAAATTAAAAAATTTAAGAAGATGACCTGAAAGTGGGAGGACTGTTAGGAAGGGATGAGCAGATATAGAAAAGGGAGGAAGAGGAAAGGTTAAGAGTGTGGTGCAGAAGGCAGAGATAGGCAAAGTGCAATGTCATAAATAGAAACAGCTGTAAAGCCATCAGTAGCTATAATTAATAGTAATTATCACTTTCAAATGAATGATTGGTCTGAAAATAACCTAACCTCTGTAAGGAAGACCAATGAACAGATCCTTCTCCCTCTCTGGGTTTTTGAGACAATGTCTCACTATGTAGCTCTGGCTATCCTGGAACTTGTTATATAGAACAGGCTGGCCTTAAGTTCACCGAGATCCACCTACCTCTGCCTCCCAAGTCCTGGGATTAAAGGTATACTTAATTACCCTCAGTTTTGAATTGAGAACATTTTATTTGAAACTGTAGGATCTTTTAGCTTTGTGATTTAAGTTAATATTAGAAATTCTTTAAAATGACTTGTCATTAGAATGTATAATAATCTTGAAATTCTTGTTTTCTTATCAGCTATCCTACCTACCCTTGATCTAGAATACATAATGAAGAACTCGAGCTCTGAAGCAATGGTCATAATGGACTATTACATGTCTAAAAATTAAAGCAGGGAGGCTCAAAATGAGGATGAATCTCAGGGGTAGAGGTTTTACTGTCCACATGTGAGGGCCCATTCCCACACCAAGCATGTGCATGAGAACACACACACACACACACACACACACACACACACACACACACACTGGTTAGGTGTGGTGGTGCCTGTAATCTCAGCTCCTGGAAGAAGAGGAAGGAGAATCAGGGAGTCAAAGTTAATCTTGGATACATAGTAAGTCTGAAGTCAGCCTGGACTACATAAGACCCTGTCTCAGCATCAACAGTAGCAAGAGAAGCCCAGCATTCACTTGTTTTCTTATTCACCCCAACTTGTACTTAAGTCAGCATAGACTCAGATCCACTCTTTTCCCTGAGTTGGTGGAAATGGAATGTTTATTTTGTCATCATGGTGAATAATGAATACAAAGTAAATTCAGTTCACTATAAAAACTTAAAAATAGGTAATAGTTTTAGGTTAGCTAAATTTCCCAATACATAACTGTACTGATAGTTTTGGACACTAGATGGCGGTATAAGCGCATCACATAATAAACCTTTCCTTAATTGCTCCAGCTTTCAAATCAGGCAATGGAGGCCGGAGAGAGCAGGTTAATGCATTAGTTAAAGCAGCAAAGTCAAATATAATCAGGGGTTGGAAGTGAGCTAATACTCTGAATATATTCAGTAACCCAATGGTTATTGAAAGAAAGGATTGTTACACACACACACACACACACACACACACACACACACACACACACAAATTTAGTCGGCTGTTGAAATATCTTCAAGCTAATTGATAATGCAAAAGTTGGCAGTGAGCACACACATTTCTTCAAATGTGTTCAACTTCATTTTTGATTTTCAGCTTTTAAAATATCAGTTGTTTGGGATGGTGTGTGCCTCACCTGTATTATTCATTGATGAAAAAGTGCATTCTTACCAGGGCTGTGAGCCCAGGACTTAGGCATTTTAAGGGGAAATGGTGGACTTACTGTAAGCAGTTGGCTAGGCCATTATTGACTGGCAGGCTCAACTGGAAGCACTTCGTTAGTGTATTAGGTTGCCCTGGAAATGCCTTCTTGAAACTCTAATGATGCACTTAACGGAGCCCTCTGGGACAGGGGTAAAACGTCTCTTAGCAGGCGTGTCTTCCACTGGAGTACTCTTGGGATGGGTTGGGATGGGCAGGAACATCCAAAGAGAGTCTCAGTAAGGAGGAAGCCTCAGAACAGGTTGCAGGTAGCAGTTTCTTACAGGTAAGTCAAGATAGTGACTTACTGCTAAAACTCCTAGCTTTTTGTGCACATTTGAGTAATCATTTCGAAAGAGCATCCCCAATCGTGTGTGTGTGTGTGTATGTGTGTGTGTGTGTGTGTGTGTGTGTGTGTGTGTGTGTGTGTTGGCCGAAAGAATGAAGGGGGAAGAGCATCTGAACGAATATGACTGTAATCAAAGGCTTAAAAAGAATCCGAAAGACTTGTAACTTGAACATTCCTAGGATTAAAGGGGAAATGGTTTAGAGGAAGAAATGCGCCCTTCTGCAGAGTCATGCATTTGAAGAGCTCATCCGGAGGTTTTTCAAATTAAAATCACTGCCAGTGTGAAGGGTAATTGGTTTATGTGTGGGGGACAGGGGGTTGGAGGTGGGGTTGAAAACAAGGAAGAAAGAGCCCAGAGGTGGCTTGTGCAAACTCAAGATCACAGGCGGGACTGGGGTCGGTGCAGTGCAGCGTCCCCGCCCTGCGCCAGCAACCAGCGCCTCCCGTCCAGTGCCCACCGCGAGCGCCACGTCCCCGTCAGCGCTGGCAACCTGTCACCGCCGAGGACGTGACTCCGAGCTGCCTCCGCTCTCTCCAAGCCCTATTCCTTTAAGATGATGTAATAGTCATTTCCCTGGATGGTTTCTTGCCTGCACTGCTCACACCACAGCATCCGAACTGCTCCTGGCACCGTGGGACCTCCTAGCTCCGGAGCTCGAGCCCCGCAGGCATCTCCCTGCCGCCCGGGCTTCTTCCCGCTCCTACCTGGCAGGGATATGGGCGTCCCTTTGCCCTTGCCGGCAGGTGGGGTGGCTGCTGCGACCCTGGCTGGGCGCATCTGTCTGTCTCTCCGCCTCTGGGCTCTCTGAACGCCTCAAAGTCCAGTTACCTCTTGCAACTCTCCCAGGTGTAAAGGATCTGCTCTAAAGGTTTTGATTTTGATATTTTTTTCTCTTCCTGCCGAAGGTTTGGTTGAATTTTTTTTTTCCCTTTGCTTCACTTCTTCGACTCAGCCTTCTTCTCACGGTTCAACTTTTTTTTTTTTTTCTCGATCCATTTGAACTAGAGATTTGGGAGTGAATACGTACACACATACATACATATATACAAACGTACTTTTCCGAGCGCGTAAGTGCGGGATCGTTTATTTTCCGAGAGCACATCTCTCTGCCACTTTTCACTGATACCTCTGTCCTTTACCTGTGTGGGATTTGACAAGACCCAGTGTGGCTGTGGTTTTCGATTGCTCTGGAAAAGGTTATTTCTTCGCAAGAACTAAGTCTCCAGCACTCGCTAAGGTAAGCGCAAGAGACTCACGGCTTTCTCTGTCCTGCTCGAAAAAAAAACGGGTCTCTTTGGAAGTTGAAAATTGCATATGCCGTTTACATCAGATTTACAAACAGGATTGATTTGAACAGCAGTTGATAGTGTCATGAGGATTAACTTAAAGACAGCGCAGTCTGAGGGAAGCACTAACTCAGTTAAGGAGTGATTAAAGTCAATAGTTACAGGCTGCTTATGTAAAAATAATCTCCTCCCTGTCATTTTCCCTCCCTCTTCCCCCTCCCCATCCCCCTCCTCTCCCCGGAGGTCTCTCTCCTTCTGACTCATTCTGGGTCTGAGGAAATAATTTCTCTCTTTTCCCTCAGAAAGACCTCTGAGTAACTGGGCACTCGGCCTTCTTGCCTACCCGGCCTAATGGAAGATCGAATGTAGACAAGCTGATTTTTACATCCTGTGAAGTAGTAGCTCACTACCAGACAGCTTTAAACTTCCTGTCCAACATTACTTCACCTGTGGACTCTCCTAAAATTTGCTCTGTTGGGGGAATAAAGAGAAAAACCGGGGTAAGAGGAAGTCATTTTTGAACAAGTTAACACCTTTTCTTTCCCTCCCTTACAACTGGATGCAAAGCCTGGGGCTGTGACTCTCGTCGGATTGTACCTTTCAGTCCAGGAACCTGCACAAGAAAGGGACAATGGCTCTGAGTGGGAACTGTAGTCGTTATTATCCTCGGGATCAAGGGGCTGCAGTTCCCAACTCCTTCCCCGAAGTCATAGAGCTGAATGTTGGGGGCCAGGTTTACTTCACCCGCCATTCCACATTAATAAGCATCCCCCATTCCCTCTTGTGGAAAATGTTTTCCCCAAAGAGAGACAACGCTAACGATCTAGCCAAGGACTCCAAGGGAAGGTTTTTCATTGACAGAGATGGCTTCCTGTTCCGTTATATTCTGGACTATCTCAGGGACAGGCAGGTGGTCCTGCCTGATCACTTTCCAGAAAGGGGAAGGCTGAAAAGAGAGGCTGAGTATTTCCAGCTCCCTGACCTCGTCAAGCTGCTGGCCCCCGAGGAAGTCAAGCAAAGCCCAGATGAATTCTGTCACAGTGATTTTGAGGATGCCTCCCAAGGAAGCGACACAAGAATCTGCCCTCCTTCACTGCTCCCTCATGACCGCAAGTGGGGTTTTATTACTGTGGGCTACAGGGGATCCTGTACCTTGGGCAGAGAGGGGCAAGCAGATGCCAAGTTTCGGAGAGTTCCCCGGATTTTGGTTTGCGGAAGGATCTCCTTGGCAAAGGAAGTCTTCGGAGAAACTTTGAATGAAAGCAGAGACCCAGACCGAGCCCCAGAAAGATACACCTCCAGATTTTATCTCAAGTTCAAACATCTGGAAAGAGCTTTTGATATGTTGTCAGAGTGTGGATTCCACATGGTGGCCTGTAACTCCTCGGTGACAGCATCTTTTGTCAACCAGTATACAGAGGACAAGATCTGGTCGAGCTATACCGAATACGTCTTCTATCGTAAGTAGGAAGGCTTCCGTTTATTTTTCTGTGTTCGACTTTTCTTCACAGATGTATGTGGTCTCGTGTTTTGCTAGGGTCTAAGGATACTGGTTTGGGAGTGCAGCTGTGCTAAATAGAGTCCTAGAGGTGGCTGCACTTCAGTTCTTGTGCCTTACCGGGTCCCAGAGAAATCTTTCTTGTTTTTTCCGGTGAGGTCACAGGGTCGTTAGACTTCAAAAATTAGAAGGGACCAAGGATGCTGGAAGAGTTCATAAATAAGCATGCGCGACTTTTTTCTCCATAGTGATTTGTGAAGGTAAGGTTGCTGATTACAGCTTGGCTGTGGGTTCTCAGGGTGTGGAGTTTTGCAGAGTCAGTGTGGATGAAGTACCACTGCCAATCCTTTCAGCTAAACTCTTGGGGTCTGTTAAGCTGATTGCTGCAGGCTTGCTTTCATTAGTGGCTTTCAGAACACAAATGGATGTTGTACAGAGTGACGTGGTCTTGGCTAGATGGCAGTGCAGACTGCTGAAAAGCCCCCCACTTCCCCCAGGTCTGAAATTCACTTTCATGGGCTTTGCAAATCTGTTGTTTGGTTTTTGAACACTTTCTACTGAGACTGGAGTTGCATTGCAGGTTTAGTTAAGCTGAACTTTGTTTAAGATCCACCTAAAATGAACTAGATCTCTGAGACTTGCCAATCACATGCAAACACCTCAGATACTGAGTTGATAGAATTCCTGACATAAAATAAAATCACTATGTACATATGAGGGGATGTGATTGCCAGTGCCTTTCAAGTAGGGCTCTCTAAATCTGTTTTTGTGCTTAAATGGAGACTTATGGTGTAGATAGCTTTGTTTTATGGAAGGGCGATGTGAATACAAGCCATTGGTCTTTGAAGGATGAACAGTAAATTGGTCTATACAATGTGATGCTTGCAGGATTTGGGCTTGGATGTTGAGTTCATTCCACAGAGATTGTGTTCTCAGTGTTAACATTCCATTTCCTTCTGCTGTTTTGAAAGCACCTTCAGAAATCAGGATTAAGATGTCTATATTTGTTTAAATATAAAGGGAAGACTGAGTTTCTTGGACTAGGCTTTGCCTATAGTTGTCTTTCTTCATTTGGAGTTGGTACAGGTGGAGAAGGCAATGGGATGTGGAGTTTTCCAAAGTGGGTCGTCACATATCTACTTAGAAGTGAGGATGCATAGACTGCATGGACAAAGTGGCCCATGAAGAAAAAATTAAATCAGTCCCAAGAACTTACTGACATGTATGGAATAGCAAACATTATTTGGTCCAGTGGCCCTGATTGTGGTCTTGGCAATCAGTATCTTCATTTAGGCCAGAGCTTAACCAACAAATATCACTTTCTTCTGTCTGGCAAAGTTCCTGTTGATACAGAGATAAGATTCTTGATTTTTAAACCTTCTGTAAGGAGCTGACATTGTCTGTCATCCTGTAGAACATATGTCTTCTTCAAACTTTTGGGGGAAAATGTGCTTTAAAGATAGGTCAAATGGAGGTTTGTACACTTGACTTTCAATCATTTACCCACCCAAATGATGCTTTTGCCGTCTCGGTCAGTGGTGTTTCCATGTTCATCAAGGGCTTATCTGTTTGACACTATGTCCTCTTTAGAATGCTCTGGAAATGTTCCAATCTCCTGATCATTTAATTGCTGCTTCTTTTGTTGAGCTGTGGAGCAGTAGTTGGCTCTCCATATCTCTATGGATAGAGGCACAAATGCACAGGAGCTTCATACTAATAGTATATATTTTGCAAATCATAGACTTCCCTTTTGTACCCAAAATCCAGAGCTAGGTATTAACTCTTCCTCTGTCTTAGGACCAATAAAACTGACAGCTGGCTTTCTAGGGTGCATAACAGCTTCCGTGCAGCTGCTTAGCCATAATTATTTAATTAGAAGCTGCCAACTGTGCCTATATAAGCATTAATTCATCAAGCTGTTGTGCTCCGCTTAATGGGCCGAAACCATGGGAAGTGCTCTAGATCAGGGAGTTGACTACATGCAAAGATGCTTTTCTCTGAGGAACTAATTTTCTTCCTGAACTTAGTGGTAGTAAATTCACACCACACACACCCCCCCTTGGATGCAAGGAATTAACTCTAAGCAATCAAAATTTTAATAACTCAGGAATTATGTAAAAGCACATTGTCTGGATCCACATCACATTAACCACTGAACATAAGGAACTAATGCACTGCTTTGGGTGGTTAGCAGCCATGGGGAGTGAAGATTGTCCCCCACCATTTCCCTGTTTGTCTATCTTTCACCCAAGTCTTGCAAGATTAACATTCCATCTGTCAACAGATTAGATGGATAGCATCATTGCCGCCTTTAACCTTTCATGTGGGCCTAGAACTGATGGTCAGCGTCAGTTAATCCCGAGTGTTTTGTTAACATAGAAAGTCACCTGGTATCTGCAAATGTTTAGGAGAGACAGAAGAAATGTAAGCTGTCTTGCTCAGTCACTAGAGAACGAGTAGGACAGGGACATAAAAAAAGAAGTGTCTATGCTAGAATCAACTCACAAACTATTTTAGACCTTTTTTTTTTTTTTTGGCCTTTATTTAAAACAATGAAAAGGTGCCTTTTCACCCCATCAGCTAAGTCCCACCTCCTTGTTCTTCAAGCAATTCATAAAAGGCAGTACCATAAAGAGCCAACAGTGCTCCCTGGCTCACCTTTAAATAAAGTGTCAATTCAGTAATTTGGAAACCAGAGGCCCAACTGTAATCAAATCACAAGTACACAGAAAGGGACGGGCACTGGGTTTCTAAGGCTTTTTCAAAGACTGTCACACATGTTTTCTGAGCCTGAAGAGTAACTTCAGGTGAATGTCTGAAAGCACAGGGGTTTTAAAAACATTCACATAAAACAACATGACCACAAGTAGAGAGTTTAGTTCATAAGATAATAATTTAAGTATGTATATACTCTGAGCTCTATTAATTGTACAAATGGCCACCCATTCACCACCTTTTCCACAAATGACTGCACGTGCGTATGTTTTAACCTTTATTCTTTTCACTTTATTTCCTTAAATTTAAAGGATCACACCAACAAAAGTCTCAAATTTCTTGCATACATACATATATATATATATATATATATATATATATATATATATATGTGCTGTTGATTAAGGAAAGACTGTCAAAAAGTAGATCATGCAACTATTTCCTACTTAGAATTCAATTTTCAGACCACGAACTGAGAAGAAGTGATTGTATCGACTGTGAATAATTTCTGCAATATTGACCACACAACTTCAAATAAAGGATATGTTTGCATAGGAAAACAAGAGGAAGCCGAAATGCATCTACCCCCAATGATGGTAGTGCCTTTTATCTTGTTTATGTGGCAGACACTGGCGATAACTTCAGTTTTTATACCTCATAGAGACACAGCATTGGCACATTCAGATGAACAGAGTGTAGCCCAAATCATGGAGTAAAGGATGCTTGTTATCTATATCTCTTCTTCCTGTGACTTTTTCTCTGACCTTGTAACTTTAGGTGTTTTCTTGTCTCCTTGTTGAAGCTCCTCCAGGTGTCAAGTTCCATCTCCCCATGCTAAATCTAGGGTTTGTTGCCAGGAAAACTTCTGTACTGTTGTTATATATAGAATGCTCTCAAGGTAGGACATTACTTCTCCCAGAAGTATCTGAACATGGGAGAACTTTCCAGAGTTGTGTATCAGGCAGCCTTTTACCCTGAAAGTAATGTTCTTGAGACTCCAGTTTACTTATTTTTTACTTAAAAACAAATCACAGTTTATTTAAGTCTAAGGCAATCTGATGAAGTCAGCACAGGTCCAACGCCAGGCAGATATTGGAGAGCAAAGTACAGAGGGGAGGACATCATTTTCTCCTTATTACTTTAAGATGTTGTGTGTGGAGAAATGGGCTCAACATTATATAATAGTTAAATAAGCATGCTAGTAATCCATTTGTATACTGTTTTCACTTCTATTCCGAATAAGATCTGTTGCCTTACTTCAATCCCTTGTAGGAGGTGATTAAAATAGGTTATTCCTGGGACTATGACATTACTGAATGAATTCGGCAGCAAGAAAAATGTCAGTGTGTGAGAAGAAAGGGAAGAGGACAAGTCTCTAACATTGCTTTCAAATGTCCTGAAAGGTTAAAAATACACATACAATTGGGAAGAGAGGAGCAAGTATTACCCATAGCCTAGTGAGGCTTAGGTCCTATCAAGTAAGTTAGAAATAAAGAGAGCTATGAGCATACCCAAACACTCCCAACACAGAACACCTCCCAATACATCCAAACATAAAACATGGAGAGAAACGCCTGAGGCACTTTGAGTCCACATTTCTGAAGGCCATTCCCTCAAAACTGATAGACAAGCTCTGCTTCATTACTCACGGCTGCTTTTCTTCTGTGGTTTTTGCTCTAGCTTTTCTTAAATCTCATAGTTCTTGGGTAGTTTGTTAAATTTTTACTGTAGAAATACTTCAAGTGTACACAAATGCAGAGGCAGTCTGTGAGACACTTTGATCTCTTGACGGTTGTGACTGTTAGCATGAGTTAGTCGTCCTTCATCTATGCTCTAATTTGCCTTACCTTTGACCTGTTCTGAATAACTTTGGGGTAAACCCCTGATATTGGTCTTGCGATTCATCCACAGGTACTATAGCCAGTATTGGTATAAATGAAACTTTAAAAAATATACAATACAGTTACTGCACAGAAAATCAGTGTCTTCACTATCAAATATCTAGCCAGTGTTCAAATTTTTCTCACACTATCTTAGCTGGTTTGTGTGAATCGGTGTCCATATGAGGCACATTTAGTTGATGTAGTTTTCTTATACTCTTTCATAATTTAATAACACTGCATGCAACTTCTGTGCAACCAATTGGTTAGGCACTCTTAACTCATTAGATGTAGGCATTCGAACTGGTCGGTTGAGTTACAGTATTTCCGGCCAGTCTTCTTCATTGTTTATGGCAAGTTAATTTTA